ACAAAGAGTCGTCTTTACTTGTAATAAAAGCTGTTTGCGAAATCGTCAACAGTTTTTTTATGTAAACTGTAATGGTTATTATAAATAGATGCGGATAAGCAATAAATAATATGAACATTTCAGTGCCTAAACATGCTCCAACTGATGTAGAAGTCTTTCAAGAAGGAGACAATGTCCTTGTTGATTTTGAGCCTCTGCCACTGAGCAAGATTCCAGGGCAGACGCCGGCTGTGAAGTAAGTTACAATTAAGTTTTGTTGAACTGAGAATATAGTCCCTGCAGTCTATGCATACGTATTTATAGGTCCGCGTTTGTGAGAATCCTGACGTTATTACATCTTGTGACGTTCGAAGCGTACCTCCACGTACACCCACTGCTGAATTTCGAAGTCTCCAACCACACTGTACAACTTAACATGCTTTTTTCTGCCTCATATCTACTTTTGAATTTCTCCATTTTAGCAACATATCACGTGCTGTTGCCGTGCTTAAGAGAGCAGGCATGGGCCCTCAAAGTCCGTGGCTAACGTTCACCACTGGGAAATTGGAGACTAAAAAACCTAGAAAGACCACAACAACAGTAACAACAACTACTACTGCTCCTGAACCGGTAAATGTTTCACAAAAGCTTTGCAGATCAAATTTCCAGAACCATATCGTGTAGGCGAAACCACTTGGGGTGACGTGTCCTTCTCGATGACAGAGGCCCTCCCTTTTCTGAGTGGCAAAGAGTGGAAGCCGCTTCGCAGCATCTTACTTCGCGAGACGTGCGACGACGCACTGTAATGCGTGGCAACGCGCGTCCACGCGCCACAATAGCATTCCAAAGCCATAGACGCGAGCGCAGTCGCACTCGTCCGGCGCCGGTCGATTCCAGGCTGCGAACACTCGATCTGTGCGTGGCTGGGGGTTGTGCTTCGAATGGTTACGGGGTAATAAGGTGGTGTGCCTAGTCACGCTCGTTACAGCGCGTTAACGCGCGTCATCACGAAGTCAGGACGCAGCCTTCACTGAAGAAAGCGATGTGGACCAAATGACATCGTCCATAACATCTATTCGAAAGCAGTGTCGCACAAGATGCACTGTGACTGAAATGGCGGGGTTCTTGTGACCGTATACCAACCGACTTGATAAGATGTTTTGGTGAAAGTGTTTTTATAGGTGAGAGACCACATATGTTCCGTCTAGGAGATTTTAGTGTACTCAGAATTTCTGGTTACTCGAGATACAGTAGTCGACCAGTATATGCAGTATTCGATACAATAGCCGACCACTATATGCACTACTAGCAAAGGGCATAGTTATCATTCTTCTAATCCTGAAGAATGCAAGATTTTATACACGACTGTGCCATTAGCGTTTTCTCGTATCGAGTAACGAGCTGTAGGCAGAGCACGCCATCACGTTGTGATAAATTTCTTCTAAAAACGACCCCATCGAAAAAGGGTCTCAGTGCGACCCCTCTTGCCCGCTAGTAATCTGGTAGCACATAAGCGGTGGTAGCAAAATTTGTTTATCTGCTAGCAGATAAACACTTGATTGCTGGCAGATTCATGCCCCATGACGGTACCAGCACCGAATTGTTTATCTGCCACCTGTCCTTTTGGAAGAAATTTCCCCCTTGTGACGCCGTTATGGCCATTTACGAGTTGCTACGCTTTTGAACGCTTATAAACATTCTTCACAAGTCCATTTGTGAAACAAAAAACGCCTGCCGAAATGTGGAAGGTTTTCGTTTTTTCAGAAAGGACTTTCATTTTTCATTAGGCCTGTTCTTCGAGAAAATTCCCCGTTGTGATGTCACTACGACACTTCTCGAACGAACCCACCCATCGAGGCAGTGACTTTTCCAGTGGGTTCGAAGGCTTTGGTATGTGTCTTTTTTTTTTTTTTTTTTTTGCTATGCTTCTGGAACACAGATTTTCGCCAGAGGTATCAGAAAATAGTTCATTCGCCGGCATTGGCATCATCTCTGTAATGAGCCATGCAGGTGGCTCCCACGTAGAGATGTTGTAACTTCTAAATAGAGCTCACTCTGTGCAAGCAGATGCGATTATTACGTTGTTGTCGGCCATCGTACTTCCTGTCATCGCCTATTCCCCACTTTTGAGCTTGTAGGTCACTTCCGTCTTCAGATGCCTTTTCAGGTGATCTGCACTTGAAGAACAGTACATAAGTATGTCATCATTCAAGCTGTACGACATTGAGTAACGCTGTTCTCCTCACTTCAGAATGGGCCTTGCGCTCATGATCCCCTCCCCGCCCACACTCCGCCTGCGCTGCTATTCTCAAGGTGCAGCAAATGCGTCGACACCAAGGCCTTGCACCATCTTGTCCACTACGCACTCTCTCACATGGAACCACAGGACGATTGGCAGTCAAAGACAAACTGGCCAACCTTCAGATATGTAAGCAGTGCTTCCTTGCCCATGTGCGAGGCGAACGAATCCAGCGGCGCACTTAAGCAGCCATTCTCGGACCCTCAAAAAGCCACGGAAAGAGACTGGAAATGAGTGCGTTGCCGAGTGGCGTCTCCATACTCCGTAGTATACTCAATGCACAACCTTGCTTTCGATATGAGATAATACCGCAGCGGAAGCAGGCGTTCGGCGGTAGAGTACAACCAGAAGTGAGAGAATGCAGACAAATAACGCCTTTGGCTATGGTTAGGCGTGTTTCTTGCCCAGCGGGCGGAGATAACAATAAACGAATTTATGAACGTCAGGACTCTTTCGGCTAACTGATTTTTGAGTAAAAGATATATTATTGAAGTTAACACATTGGATAGTAGACACCCGCAAAACTTCGGCCTCTCTACCTTTTGGTGTATCTATTTTCATTTCTTGTGATAGTATGGAAAGTACTAGTCTTGATCTTACACCTAATCATTCAGCTTTTGTAGAGGAAATTGGGAAAGTAGATAAAGGGTAAATTGGGAAAGAGAAATTGGGAAAGGGGGGAAAAGCTGAGAACGCGTTGGGCAGGAAGGGGGAGAGAGGGGGGGGACGTAACAGAGTAAGAAATCGTGGAGGTTGAGTCGTCTGACTCTGCTATTTTCCCCATCCCGATACTGCACCCTTGCAGTAAAACAAGGTGAAACAAGGCGTGACTAAACAGGAAGAAAAAATGATGTGGTGCATATGCTGCGCACCTCCGAAGTGTCTTTGTTCCCTATCATCTTATCTTTGTATCTTTGACGCAAAAGGGATCGAAAAGCTATTATAAGGGAGAAATACATTGTAAAGATCTCTGATACCATCAAAAATGCGACTCACAGCCCTGTCGATTTACTATTCTGAACTACAGGTATCCGGAGTGGATGTTTCGATTGAGGTCTTGAAAGGAATGAAAGTAATACTTTTGGTGGAGTTCAAAATGAAGGATGGCAGTCAATTCCGTGATGAATCAGTGAGATCTTTGGAAATTCTGGAATACCGGAAGGTTAGATAATTCGAAGCGGCTCGTTCAATTAACAAACAGGATATGCCATAGCGTGACAAGAAACGTCAAGAAACACGGTGCTGCCTCAGTAACCCCCTTTAGCGCAGTGTGGCGACGGAGGAGGGGGGGGAGGGGTGCCACTTTTTTGCTACTTCCTATCGTTGCCGACCTATCTAGACAGGCTATTCTCGAGTTGACAGGGTTCTAGCCATGATGGCGCCTTGGTCATGACCTCTGGCAACAGCTTCCCGAATATTCACAGGGCGGAGAAATTGTAAATCGGAACTAATGACGCCATGATAGTACAGAATGCCCCCCATCGCCAAACAGCGCTCCCCCCTCCACCGTTTTTTTTCATTACTGTCTCCGGACCTTCATGCTCTCAGTTTTTTTTCCGAAATATATTCTGACAAGGGAACCCCAACAGGTCGATCTGGCCATTTGCAATGAGATGTATATAGATGAACGTGTCATGAGCCGCTGTACGCAAATCTGCCCTCGAACTCGCGGAGACGATTCTGTCGAAGGGTACGACCATTTATTCTCTGCGCTTCTCGCGCAAGTTCAGAAGTATAACACCCGCACCGAGCGGTCGGTGGTGTAGTGGATAAGCACATTGTTTCAGAGGAGCGAGCTCACATGTTGGAATCCTTGACCCGTGCAATTTTTTGTTTTGTTTTAAACAATTCATATGAGCCCCGAAAACACTTCTGTTTAGCTAATTTACCTAATTCTTTAATTATCGATATTAGGAGGAAGCGAAGTCTTCATTCCTGTTCCATTTGATAATTTTCGTTATTAGGACATGTTGCCAGAGGTTGCGTAAAGAAATAAAGTTCTTATCGTTCAGGAGCACATGTGTGAATTAATGGAAACAAATTCCCACAATGAGCACTGCGAGTAGAGAAGTACTAAACACGCGGTAAAGCTACAGTTCCTCACCGATCCAGAGGGAAAACAATACTAAGAGGTGTATCAAATGCACCAGGGTATCCTCCGAAATATCCAGTCGAATACCAGGGACAGGAGACAGGAATCTTTTAAATCTAGGTGAGCGGAACTGAAGATAGACTAGAGACAGAACACGATGAATAGAGTCTCGTGAGGTATTGAAAAATTGTATTAGTAGCATTAGGACCTCATAGGAAGAAACACAATGAATTAAATTGCATAAGTAGACTACATATATAATTAGAGATATAATATATAATGTAGAACAGAGACGGTAACAGAGAGAAGCCAGCAGAGACCAGCTATAGGCACGGAGCAAACGATGACGATAGTAATAGAGCACAGATATCATAGAAAGAGGAGACTAGAGAGAATACAACCATAGGAAGAGCATATGAACCGGGAGAGATATAGAGCAGAGCAAGAGACACACACAAGGATGGGGACGATACGAGAAGAACATCCACAAAAGAAAATCCCAAAGCGTTTAAATACGATTGAGACAAATACATACAAGGGACCTGCGAACGGCGCGAAGACTCGACCTAGGAGAAGAAGAAGAAGGAAGATTAGTTGAGGACTTGTTTTGTTTTTGTCATATTCGTGGTGGAGAGCTACACCAACTAGATGCAACTTAGACATGAAGAACTTTATATATCTATATGGCGATCATCTAAAAGGGCCAGAATAACCAGAACAACTTCTATCGTTAGGGGTAATTTACCCTAACCATTGTATATGAGAGTACACACAAGAAAATAATATTAACGAACCAAAGAAATAAGAAATATATATATATACAAAAGCAGAGTATACACAAAAGTAACAACGAGTTAATACACGAAACCTCGATTCCTCTAGAAAACAATGCGAACAAATTATCCAATTACACCACGCGTGCTCGGCCGGTCGGTTATACAACCGAACTTGGTGTGAACATGACAGAGAATAAATGGTTCGCCCAAGTCTCTCCAGAAGAAAATCGCCTATACCGCAAAATTTACGAAGAGAACAGAATTGCATATACAGAGCAAAGACCCAAGAAACAACGCACAAAAAACATACACTGCTCCACATAATGATAGTTCCACCCATAAATATTACAAAATCCCGTCTTACATGAGGTTTCAAAAATGTGCTCACATAGAAAATGAGGTAATAATCAATACCAGTTTGCATGTCAACACCGGAAACTAACTTAATCTACTGGAAGTCCATTTCTTCGAATGAGCTGGAAAATGCGGTTGTCTGTGTCTCGTAATGAGAGGTTTTAATGAGTTTTCCGGTCCATATCGACATGCTGCCATG